GAACAAGTTAAGTGAGAAGGTGGTGGAGGCCAAAACCGTCAGTAATTTCAAAGCATTATATGGCAAAGAGTGCTGGGGAGACGGGACACCACGAGCGTAGCTCTCATCCTGTAACTACACTTAGGTAATTACACTTAGGTAATTACAGAGGTTCTGCTCTTTTGGTCTTGGTGGACGTTTTGTTCGGTTGTAGCCGTCTCCTTTTCTAGCAAAGAACGATCTGGCGGGCTTCTGGAAGGGTCCGTGGGTTAATGATGCTTGGTTGATCCGGCCGGGGGTGCATCATGTACTCACCTAGTTGTACTCACCTAGTTGTGCTTGCAGGGGTTGAGCTCTGGCTCTTTGGTCCCACCTCTCAACTGTCAATCAACTGGTGTGCAGATTTCTAAGCCTACTGGGCTCTGTCATATCTGCATTTGAAACTGTGTATGGAGTCTGCCTCCACCACATCACTGCCTAATGCATTCCATCTGTTAACCATGACACTGAAAAAGTTCTTTCTAACGTCCCTGTGGCTCATTTGGGTACTCAGTTTCCACCTGTGTTGTTTTGTTTGCGTACCAAATGTGTTAAACAGTTTATCTTTATCTACCCTGTCAATTCCTCTGAGAATTTTGTAGGTGGTTATCTTGTCTCCCCTTACTCTTCTGTCTTCCAGTGTTATGAGGTGCATTTCACACATCCTTTCCTCTTAACATATGCCTCTTAGTTTTGGGACTAGCCTAGTGGTATACCTCTGAACTTTTTCTTGTGTTGTGTTGTGTCTGATTGGGGCTCTGTGCCATTACCTGTGTGCCTCGGCCTCTATGGCCGTGGCCGCACTTTGGGTTGATCTGTTTTCTTTTTTTCTGTTCCAGGGCTTGTGTCTCAGGTTGTCTGCAGAATTATTAAGTCTTGTCAGCCTGCTGTCTACCCTTGTGCCCATGACGTTCGTAAGTATGCTGTCTTGACTGCCGTGTTAGGCTACATGTCCAGGGCTGACACTCGGGTGCTGGGGTTTTGGAGGCCAAACAGGGTCCTGGCCACCCGTTAATTGGTAAATGTTCCTAGTCCCAGTCATTTGTGTGGTTTTTGGTCGCAGTTTGCAGCCAGTTGTCTCGGCTTCCTTTGTTTTCCTTTGGGGAGATCTGTTCCTCTGTCCGGTCTTGGGTTTTTGCAATTTACTACCATGTGGGGTTTGTTTTGAGATGCCTACCTTTCTGGGTGCCTAACTCTGGTCGATGGCAGACAAGGAATACCCCCAAATACAAAGGGGGGTCTCCTTAAGCCATTGCTCCCTGTGCCTCTCTGAGAGGGCCAGGTTATGGCTCTGGTTCCCTGTAGGCAGGACTCCATTGACTGTATTCCCAGACTAATATAGCGTATATCAGTTCTATAGCTCCAGGGAGCCAAAGGGGCTCGCCCAGAAAATGACATTTCATTACAATCAATGCTGGTTTTATATAGAAAAATTGTACATGTACAATTTTGTACAGTTCACTAAATATTGTAAACAAACAGCATGATAATATAGAAGATGTACAGCATACATAAGTTATTACTTAAACAAAGTACTCATCAAGGATCTAAGTGTTTGATTACAATCTTGGAGTGATGCTATGTTAGGGTATGTTTTGGTCCTAACAGATGACCACACCCAAAATTTGTACAAATATCCTTTGCACATTTCACATCACTTAATTATTATCCATCACTATACTCTATACACATAACTTGATAATGTTACTTATCTTATGGACATGTTTGGTCTTCTGGGTCAGCCACCTGCCACTGGTATCTTTGCTTCATCTTGCATTATAATGCACACCCGTTATATGACCACTTGTCCATCCAAATGTCCTCTCAAGCCCCTCCTTCATGCATAAAAATCACTAACCAATCCCGGTGGAGCGTCCCCAGTATTATGAGAAGCCTGCTAAATATCCGCACAGTAGCCATGTGGTGGAATATTGTTCAAAAAGTACTCACTGTCCACTATATCCAACCATCCTAATTGTTCCTCTTCGAATGTGGTTTGCTAATGTTGTATGTGACTTGATAATGGTCCATCCTGGACCATTATCAAGTCACATACAACATGATAATGGTTTGGACGAACCGAGATGTCTTCGTTTCTTCATCTTCTGGTATGTGGTTTGGCCATCAAACAATCCTTTGTTCTAGCTTGGTGATTGGCACACCTTTTGTTACATAAACATTACAAAGTATGTTTGTACAAAATGAAAGCTTTAGGGAACCAGACATAATAAGAATTCCAGAGAACAATATAGAGCACATAGAGGTGTCTAGAGACAAAGTGGGAAAAAATGCTCAAGGAGCTAAGTAAGAACAAAGCAATTGGCCCAGACGGAGTTTCATCGTGGGTTCTGAGAGAATGTGCACCTGAGCGCAGCATTCTACTTCAACTGATTTTTCAGGCATCCCTGTGCTGTGTACAGGAGTCATAGCAAGTGTGTGGAAAAAGATTAACATAGTTCCAATCTACAAAAGTGGCAGCAGGGAAGACCCTCTCAGTTATAGAACTGTATCATTGACAACTGTAGCAGTCAAAATATTGGAAAAAATAATTATAACTGAATGGGTAGAACACCTGGAGAAAAACGATATAATATCAGACCGTCAGTATGGTTTTCGATCTGGGTGATCCTGTGTAATGAATTTACTCAGTTTCTATGATCGAGCCACAGAGATTTTTACAGGAAAGAGATGGTTGGGTTGACTGCATCTATCTGGACCTGGTAAAAGCCTTTCGACAGAGTTCGACAGAGACATACGAGGTTGTTCTGGAAACTGCAACATATTGAAGGGGTGACAGGTAAGCTTCTAACATGGATGAAATATTTTCTGATAGAAAAATGTGGGCAGTAACCAGAGGAAGTGTATCGGACTGGAGAAATGTCACAAGTGGAGTACCACAGGGTTCAGTTCTTGCACCGGTAATGTTCATTCTCTACATAAGCAATCTACCAGATGGAATACAGAATTATATGAACATGTTTGCTGATGATGGCAAGATAATATGGAAGATCAGTAACTTAGATGATTGTAATGCCCTTGAAGAAGACCTGGACAAAATAAGTATATGGAGCACTTCTTGGCAAATGGAGTTTAATATAAATAAATGCCATGTTATGGAATGTGGAATAGGAGAACAAAGACCCCACACAACTTATAAATTATGTGAGAATTCTTTAAAGAATTCTGATAAAGAAAGAGATCTAGGGGTGGTTCTAGATAGAAAACTAACACCTGAGGATCACATAAAGAACATTGTGCGAGGGGCCTATGCTACACTTTCTAACTTCAGAATTGCTTTTAAATAAATGGATGGCAAAATACTCAAGAAATTGTTCACGACTTTCGTTAGACCAAAGCTGGAATATGCAGAGGTTGTATGGTGCCCATATCATAAGAAGCACATCAACAAACTGGAAAAGGTGCAAAGACATGCCAACGAGTGGCTTCCAGAACTGAAGGACAAGAACTATGAGGAGAGGTTAGAGGCATTAAATATGCAGAAACTAGAAGATAGAAGAAAAAGAAGCGATATGATCACTACATACAAAATAGTAACAGGAATCGATAAAATTGATATGGAAGAATTTCTGAGACCTGGAACTTCAGGTGGGGGTCTGGGGGTCCCCCGCTCCCCCTCATGTGGAGGAGGGGGGTTGCGCAGAAAGCGGCGCGGTGACGTGTCATTACGTCATGCTTTTCATTTGGGGAGCTCTGTCCACTAATTCGGCTTTCAGTGGCACTATTTTAACCAGAATAGGGGTTTGTTTTGAGGTGCTTACCTTTCTGGGTGCCTGACTCGGTCGATGGCAGACATAGAAGGCTTCCAACCACATAGGAGTTTCTATTGTTTCTATCCCCCTGTGCCTCTCTGAGGGGGGGGGGCAGGTTCTAGCTCGTGGTCCCTGGTAGGTCAAGAACTCTATGTGCATTGACTGATGCCAGGGTCTAATACATTCATATCAGCCCGGTTAGCTTCAGGGAGCCTCTGGGTCTCACCCAGAAAATGGCGTTTCATTATATTCATTGCTGATTTGTTACCTTCACGGAGCCACAAGGGGCTCCCTTCAGAAAACCAGCATTGACTGTAAAGAAATGCCATTTTCTGGGTGATCCCCAGCTGGTCCCCGATTCCCTCCTTCCCATCCAGGTCATCTGGTGGATGTGTACATATACTCTAGAACTTACTGAGCCATTGGCTGGCAGTGAGCTACCTTCACCCTCCCCCAAAGGAGCATGGGTAGGTGGGGCAAATGAACCCCCATGCAAGTTCAGACTTTGATCATTTGTTTACATAGGGGAGGTTTCAAGGCATCTGTTTCTTTTCAATCCAGCAGTGGTTTGTTTTGATTTGCTAACTTTCTGGTTGCCTTCCTCAGTTAAGTGGCAAAAATAAATGTTACGGCGCCATGCACCTCTTTGAGTGGGTCAGGATCATTTGTGACTTATCCTTGGTAGGCCTGTAGAACTCCTCAGTTGATGCAATCTAGTAGATGGTACCATCTCAGCATATAGTAGTTGCATGGAGCCACCTTGGCTCACCAAAAATTAGTGTTTCCTTATATTCAGTGCTGATTTTCAGGGGGAGCCCCTTGGCTCCCTATAGCAATCTCACTGTTTCCCATTGAAATGGCTGAATGTAATTTGTTCTCTCTGCCTCGTAGGGGAGGGGGGGCTTCTCCCTGGTAGGCCAAATAGAACTCTTGTGACTGGTGTGACTTGTAACATGGAGCAATCTCAGTGAGACTGGTTCAGGGAGCCACCAGGGCTCTAGCAGAAAGAGGCATTTCATTACATTCAGTGTTGGGTTTTTCCAACTCTGAGTTTTGGATGGAAGTTCCAGTGGGTGAATTTGATTCATTATTTTAAGGGATCCATTATATACAGGTCCGGATTTTTGAGGGTGAACTGTATTGTAAATTACTTTTGGAAGGACATAATTTCATATGATATGTAATACTTTGAAATATCACATTAAATTTCAGGAGCAATTTCCGCCAGGGTCTAGTCTCGGGAAATAAGTATGTCATCCATCCCATTCTCTCATGGCTGCTACAGAGAATGGATGAGCTAAAAAAACGGGCTTACTTAGCCAAATACTTGGTGAAGCTAGATGTTCCTGCTGAGATGCTTGGAGATGCAGATGTGGCAGACATTCACATGAAGGTAGGCTCTCTACGGTACTGCACTACTACATAACACAACTTTCTTGTAATTTACTTCTAGAGCTTTTCATTTGTTTGAATTCTTTTAAAATTTTAGAAATCATCTAATGACTCATAAGTTAATATGCAGTACAAAATAAAATAGTGGTTCCACTTCTTTAAAAAAACAGCATTGAATGTAATGAAACTCTATTTTCTGGGTGAGACCCAGAGGCTCCCCGGAGCTTATCCAGGCTGATATGCTAATGTCAGACTTTGGCATCAGTCATGTGTATGGAGTTCTGTGGGCCTACCAGGGACCATGAGCCAGAACCTGGCCCCCTCAGAAGAGGCATGAGGAGCAATGGCCTATAGAAACCCCCGTGTGGTTAGAAGCATTCTGTCTGCCATCGACCGGGTCAGGCGCCCAGAAAGGTAAGCGTCCCAAAACAAACCCCTATTCTGGTGAAAATTGCTACGAAAAGCTGAACAAGTGAATAGAACTCCCCAAACAGAAACAGGCAAACGAGTATGACATCACACGTCGCCACACTGCTGTCTGCGCAGCTCCCCCCCTCCCCGGTAGGGGAAAGGGGAAGCCCCAGACCCCTGCGCCAGCAATCCACCTCTCAGTTCTGAGGCTGGACATCAAAACAAAAGAAAACGACCGGGGGGAGGGAGCGTTCCCGGGGAGCTTCTGGGTCTCACCCAGAAAATAGTGTTTCATTACATTCAACGCTGGTTTTCTGAGGGGAGCTCTGTCAGCTCCCCAGAGCTACCTACCCAAAGACGAAAACAAGAGGGACCTAACCCAGGAGGCGGGAGTCGCATGCACCCCAACGTGAAGCGGTGACAAAACCACAACTGCCAATCCAAGGCCACACAGGCCCGACAAGGCCCAGGAACATCAACGAAGGAACGCAGAGCCAACCAATGAACGACTTGGGCATGGGGACAGACATCAGGCTGGCAGGACCGAACCACCCAGCAGACGACCCCAGAGAACCACACCCTGGAACAGGGAAGAAGGGAACCTGGAACAACCCAAAGCATGACCCCGGTCACGGCAGCTGTGGCACGCCAAGCACGGCGAAGTGCTGCAAACGAACACAACACACAATGCACCCCAGGCCAGACCAACCAAGCATCAAACAACCCAAGGACCCCTCCAGAAAGCAGCCATGCCAGTCTTCGCCAGAAAAGGAGGAGACGGCTGCAAGCGAACAAACCCATCAGGAGAACCAAAAGAGCCAAAACCCAGGTGCCAGAGGAGGGCATGAAACGCTCTGACCTGACCCCCAGAGGCCAGCACCAACAAGAAAAGAGCCTCGGAAAACAACTCGGAACCGAAGGGGCCACAACAACCCGAGGAGAAGAGAAAATAGTATGCAAGCCAAGAACCAGGACGGCTCAAGCAGCTCAAGAGCAGGCCGGAGGTGAACCACGCCAGAGACGGCTCGCGAAGCGGTGCAGAGGCAACTCCAAAACCAAAGCAACCCGGAGCGACTCTGCCAGTGCTGCACGAGACAAGGCGAGAGTATGTGGCAAGATGACAGCTCTGAACCTCCACAATAGAAGAACAAGACCACGCCAAGAAAACATAGCAAACCGACAAAGGGAGAGAAAGAAAAAGGAAGGACCGCCAAAAAAAAAAAATCCACACTGCCGCCAAGACGAAGCACGCAGGTGGGAGACCATCAACGAAGCCACCTGACCACCAGCAGATGGTGAGAGACTCAAGGCAGAACCGAACCAGCCCCGCCATGGATCCATTGAGCATAGGAAGTGGCGGAGCCGCGGGAAAACCTCGGGTGTGATTACCGATCAAGCAGAGCCGGAAACCCAAGCCGGCAAGGAATGAGAAGGAACGTCTGCCGTACAGAAAACTTCCCAATGCTAGCGAGCTCGCCAGGAGATTGGAGACACGTGAGAAGTAACACCACAAGATCTTGAAAATGCCAACTGGCAGGGTAAGCCAGGAAACCAGGAACCCAAACCCGGCAAGCCAGGAAAGAACCAAACATAGGAGTGGTGCAAAAGCAGGGAACTGAACATGGACAAAGTCCAACCTAGCAGGAGGAGAGCCAAGAAGCACATACTAAACCACGCAACACAGTGCAATGAGAGGGGCAAGGTAACATCAGAACTATTACATCCCTTGACACTATTAGTTACCACAACACAAACAAGTGTAAACTAACTTGTTCAGGGCTTCTCGCAGACATGAAGCTCTGTTGAGTAACCTGCACACAGAACAATTCAACTATCCCCACACATATTATCCGGCAGGTCAAATGCCCTAAATTGGATACAGTATTACAAGCCATATGGACTAGAAAAACAGCCCCAGCACCAGCAGCTAGGGACAAGGGCATAGAAGGAAGATGAGGAATGAGGAAGACAGGCAGCAAACACACACAGGCCATGTTGATGTCAGGTGATTGACAGTAGAGAGGTGGGACCAAAGAGCCAAAACTCAACCCCTGCAAGCACAACTATGTGAGGACAATGAGGTGAGTACAGAGAACCGAATGGATATGGAAGGGCTAAGCCAGGCACTGCAAGACGGTCAAGGAATAAGTGACCAAGATAAGACCATGAAAGATGGGGCTGTGCTCCACCGTGTAACAAATAACACAGATGAACAAGGAAAGCAACAGGAAGAAGCACGCAAGGGGCCAAACAAAACGCCACAACCAATCCCCCAACACGCACCCAAAAACCATGAACGAGTGCCTGGCCGAAAGAGACGCTCGACCACATGAACTCACCTGCAGAGCGTAGGCACAAATGTGTCACGACACATCGTAGCCGAAAATATTCCTCGAGCACTGCCAATGGAATAAGACCAGAGCGGCACATGCAGGAGAAAAGTAGGGTAGAGGCGAATGTGGCGCCCCACACCCGTATGCAGGGAAAACGAAGCGTCCACCCCATATTGGTTATTCAGAACACCCCCAGTTTCTATGGTGCACGGACAGGAGAGATGAGAGGAGCGAGAGGGGTGAAGCACCCAAGAGAAAAAGACGCAGAACACTAGCACTTGTGTACACCGTCCATAACAAAACAAACTCCCACGGCGCATGCGCAGGACGCATGAGGTCCGAACGGCACAACCCTGCCTGGCGGTAAGGGCACCACTAGGAGTAGTGAAGAAATATTAGACAGAGCACGAAGAGACGATATAATGACAAAAGAACAAGATAGTATCGAAAAGCAAGAAGAAGCATGGAAGAGGACCAACGAGTCCAAAAAACGACTGGAGGTAAGCCTCACTGGAAGACGACAGACATTCCAATAATACAGGAAGAATCGAAGACCTTCCCAAACTCTCGAGATCTTACAGAAGCAAGCACAAAATCACAAAGGCTCATAAAGGCACAGTCGCACCCGAGACCAAAAATCATGCAGAGCCTCGATAAGAGTAGTGACCCCGACATGATGGAGAAGTCCCGTTCCAGAGAAAAAGGAGGTAGAAACGGAGAAGAGTACCCACCGATAGAACGGAACCGAATGGATCCGAAGGGACAAGGATCTGAACCCGGGGAGGGGCTAACACCCAACAACTCGTGCGCAGAGGTGGGAAAGGAAAAACCCCACTCCCCGTAACCACAAGCCCATCTCAGAGGGTAGAAAAACCCCAACGGGATCCAACAGGGCCCGAGGCCACCCGAGTAAGCCCCTCTCCAGCCCCAGGAACCTCCTCGGTAGGCCCTGGGGCCGAGCCATCCCCCTAAAGTCCCAGTTTCACAAGAAAAAGCCGGGGCAACTAGAAAAGTACTAAGGAAGGGAGCCCACAGGCAGACTCATACAGACTGGAGGAACAAGCTCGAATGCCTCCGTCGCTACCACAGAAGGGGAAATCCCTGTGGAAAGGCTTGTGAAGGCTCGCCGGAGTCTCAAGACCCTCGAATCCCCACCCCAACCCCGAACCCACAGACGGTAAGGATCCGGATGCAGGGAGGAAGGGAGGGGGCAGACAAAATAACAACGGGAAAGACAAGGGGGCGTGGAAGGAAACAAAACCGAAGCAACCAACACCCCCAAGCCCCGTCACAACAACCAAAACGGAGCAGCCTCGGGGCTTCCAGGGAGCAAACAACCTAGCACGTTGCAAACACCTGAACCCAACATGCAACGCCCGTGCTGCCTGCACCAGCATAGTCAGCAGAAGACTGGGTAACCGAGTCACAACAAGCAACTAAACTTGCAGGACTCCGGGTCGAAGGTGCCACCAACCTCTCAGGCAGCAGATGGAGGCAAAAACAGTGAGAGCCACCCTGAGACAAGGGGACAGAGCAACCCTCAAACTCGCACAAAGCGAGGGGGACTCGGGGTCACATCCATCGAACCCACATGCTCCCATGGGGATTCCCAGGATCCTGAGACGGAACTCATGCTCAGGGAATCCCAGGCAGGTTACTGCTAACCGGAGCCCAAGTCTACCAAACAACTATCTAAGAACTCAACCCCCAGGACGTGTACACTCACGGGGACCAAGCAGGGGAAACCACCGGAAGAAGAAGAGTACTCAGTACACAGGGGGCAAGAACCAAGGCAGACCCCCTAACCAGGCAGGCAAACAAAAAGAAAAAGAAAACCACGCAAGAGGACAGCGTACCCAGGCAGAACAGAGCCAGCCGCTATGATTGGTGAAAACAAGATGCGCAGTACCCTGCGCCCCCTACCAGTACAAACTGCCCCTATCAAAAGGCGTATAAGGGAGACAGAACACCCAAGCACACAAAGAGCGGCCGAAAACCAAGCAGTAAATGGCCTAGCAGAGGCAGAACTCAAGGAACTTGTGGAAGGTGGCCCCAAACCCCAAGGGCAGTACTGTACTTTCTGGGCACCTAGAGAAGGAAACCCTAGGTGCATGCAGCTCGAGTACTGAAGAATCACTCCTGGCTCACGCACCACCTAGAAGACAGTCACCACACACAAGGCACAGGGCTAAAACAGCCACTGGAGCCAGAGCACACGACTGTTGCCTATAGCATCAGCCTCAGAACTGAGAGGTGG